CTTCATCTTCTGGGACTCCTAGGTTATAAATATTATTACATTTTAATAAATTGCTGAGTTCCCTAATTCTGCCTTCAGGATCTCTCACTTTTGTTTCCCTCTTCTTTTCAGTTTCATTATTTTCCATAATTTTATCTTCTACATCACTATTTTGCTCCTCTGCCTCATCATCCATCCTCATTTTTATGGCCTCCATTTGGGTTTGCATCTTGGTTACAGCAATTTTAACTTCAGTCTGACTAGATTTTACTTCTTTTATCTCTGCAGAAAGGGATTATCTTGTGTCTTATATGCTTTCTTCAAGCCTACCTAGTATCCTTATAATCATTGTTTTAAATTCTAGTTCAGACACTTACTTAATTCTACATTGATTAAAACCCTGGCTGTCATTTCTTCTGTTTTTTTCTTTTGAGGTGAATTCCTCCTTCTTGTCATTTTGGAGGAAGAAAACAACAACAACAATAATAGTAATAATAGAATGAAATAAAAATTTAAATTTTTTAACTATCAAATAAAGGAAGCTGGATCCTAGGTGTGTTTTGGTCTGCTTGTTAAGAGAAGCTCGATTAAAAAAAAGAAAAAAATTAAAATTAAAAAATAAAAAATAATAAGGTAAAATAAAAATTTTTGCTCTTTTTGTGTCCAAGAAACAAAAGAAAAGAAAAACAACAACAAAAACAAAAACAAAACAACAAAAAAGTGAACAAACCAACAAACAAAAAAACCCAAATGAAGCTAGATCCATTTTCCTCTAGAGCTGAATCTTTGCATCACTCTATGATCAGTAGGCTAAGCTCCCAGAAGGGATTTGTACTGGTCCTCTGGGGGAGGGGTCTGCTGATCTGATTCCAAGGCCCACTTGCCCTAGTGGAGTTGGACCTGGAGGCAACAGGGATGCAAGGCTTGGTATAACAGCCCTGTTCTCCACTTAGTGGCACTGTTTTGCTTACTGGAGTCAATCATTGTTGATGGGCTAATGGTGTAAATGGCTTCACCCTGCTCTCTAGTCTCCGAAGTGAGAAGCTCGCACTCTCACAGACACACGGATCAGTCACCCATCCTGTGCCCCCTGCTTCTGTCAGCTCTCTGCCTTCCTCCTGTCTGTGTCTGAGCTGTCTGCCTACCAGGCGGCACCTCTCTCCAGAGTTTTATCTCAGGTGCAGTTGTGTTCCAAAACCACACATCAGAGACTCCCATGGTTCAGACCTGCAGTGATCTTCTGGGGGAGGGTCTCACTGTGCTATAGCTGGGGCCAGCTTGTCCCAGGAAATAGTCATGCCACTGCAGAATGGCAGAAGTTCAGAGTTTATGGTAAATCACAACACAGAGCTTTGCTGCCCTTAGCTGTCATCCTTTGTTCCTGTATGGGTGTCATGTGGCTTGATGGTGCCTACTGGATCTTTTGCCTGTGGAGAGGCCATATAACCCCTACCAAATGCACTCCAAGGAAGGGAACATCTTCTCCCCACATGATCCAGGGGATCCTCAGACCTTGCTGCCTGCTCCCAGGGTTCTGCCCTGCTTCCTCACCAGAGCACTGCCAGGTGCTGACCTCTGAAACTTCAGATTCAGTGCTCTAATGTTTATAAAAAACTGGCAGTATTGAAACTCTCTCCTTTTTCTCTTGTCAGTGGTTTTGGGGAACAGTTGTTTTGTGCAGTCCCCAGTTCGTGTTTTCACTCTTTCTCTCTAGTTGCTTTCAGAGGAAGTGCTTTCTTGTGCAAACACAGTGCACTGCTCTCTCTCCCCCTCTCTTTTCCTCTCCCTGAAAACAGCCCCCTCCCCTCTGGGGCACTGCAGATCTTCACTTCCCCAGTTCCCCTCTCTGCACTATGTACCTGCTGTGTTCTTTCCTTCAAATTATGCAGACTATTCTGTTAATCCTCAGACTGATTTCCTAGGTGTTCAAAATGGTTTGATGTTGATCTCGCTGTGTTTGAGGGACAGACAAGTCCCCTTACTACTCTGCCATCTTAACTCTTCCTCCAAGAAATTTGTTGATATTGTTCTCCACCACACTTTCTCTTCTGTTCCTGCATCTCTGATGGCAGAATGTTAGATGTTTATTGTTGTCCTATAGGTCCCTGAGGCTCTGTTCATTTTTTCCAATACAGTAAAACCTTGGTTTATGAGTAACTTGTTCTGCGAGTGTTCCACAAGATGAACAAACATTTCTAATAAATTTTAACTTGATAAACAAGTGATGTCTTCCAATACAAGCAGTGTGTGATGCTGAACATTGCATGATCACAACTGAGCCAATGGTTCTTGAAATTCACTTTGATATATGAGTGCTTTGGATTACAAGCATGTTTCCAGAATGAATTATGCTAGCAAGCCAAGGTTTTACTGTGTTATTATTTCTCTGTTCTTCAGACTGGATCATTTCTTTTGAGCTATTTAGTTTACTGATTCTTTCCTCAGTAAACTTATGTTGTAATTAAAATTTACCAGTGAATTTTTTATTTCAGTTATTATATTTTTCAGTTCTAATATATCAATTTCATTCTTTTTTTTCATCTATATTTAACCCTTGAACAACAGAGGGGTTAAGAGTGCTAACTTCACACACAGTCAAAATCCACACATAACTTTTGATTCCCACAAAATTTACCAATAGCCTATTGTTAACCAGAAACCTTACTAACATAAGCAGTCAGTTATCACTTCTTGTTCATGTTGTATGTATTACATACTTTATTCTTACAATAAGTAAACTAGAGAAAAGAAAATGTTAAGAAAATCATAAGGAAGAGAAAATACATTTACAGCACTGTACTGTAGTTATCAAAAAAAAAAAAAAATCCACATGTAAGTGGACCCGCACACTTCAAACCTGTGTTATTCAAGTGTCAACTATATCTCCCTGCTGTTATTTTCCATTCAGTTCAAGAGTATTTACCCTTACTTCTTAGAGTCTGGTTATAAGAGCTGCTTTAAAGTCTGATAATTTCAACTACCATATTACCTTGGTGTTGAGATCTGTTGGTTGTCCTTTCCCTTAAACATTACTGAGATTTGCATAGTTGTTTGTATGTTAAGTCATTTTGAATAATACCTTGGACATTTTGAATACTATGTTATGAGACTCTGGACCTTGTTTAGTTGCTGTGGAGAATGATGGCTATTACATTTTTTAAGAAGTTGATCCAGTTTAGACTACAAGTTCTTACTGGCTTTCAGGGTCTTTGTTTCTTAGGTCATTTCAGTTTTCAAGGTGTTTTCAGTGCTATTTGGATAATGTAGATCACTCAGTGGCTAGTCTGGGACCTGTAAAATATTCTATTCCATAGTTCAGTCCTCAAAGACTTTCTACCCTGTTTAGGCTCAGATCCACCCATGCACAGTTTGGGGTAAGTCCTGGAGTTTATACACTTTTTGGGATCATTTTCTTGAATTCCTTCCTCTCTGAATTCTTCCAGACACTTTATGGTTCCAGAAGCCCCTATATTCCTGATCTTTTTGCAAGAAAGATGGGCTTTTGTTTTCCTACTTTGCAATATACTTCCTGCAAATGTGTCTGCCTCTAGAGCCAAGCAGCAGGAAAACAGAGATAGAAAAATGAAACAGGATTCTCCTCCCACCTCCATGTTCTTAGGACCAGAGCTCCTCTAGTCATGGAGGATTCCCCTTCCTCAGGGTTTTAGGTGCCTATCGGGCTGTCATTGCCATACTACAATAGGATTTCCTGGGAATTGGGGGTGGGAGGAAACAACAACAGAGAAGATTTCCCCCATTCGTTCATACTCTTAGGGGCCCCTTTTCCTTCTCTTCAGACCAGAAAGGGCTTCTTTTGGAGTACCTTTTGGGCACACCCAGTTTCAAGTTGCTGTTGAGATCAAGCCAGAGGATATCATAGGGACAACAAAAGAATTTTCTAAGCACTACTTGCTTAATCACTTCAGCGATACAAAAGATAAGGGAAAGGAACAAACATTTATTTGAATACATACCAAATTTAAAAATTTCTTTTAAACATTTATTTATTTTTTTTTATTATTATTATTTTTTTTATTTTATTTTTGGGACAGAGAGAGACAGAGCATGAACGGGGGAGGGGCAGAGAGAGAGGGAGACACAGAATCGGAAACAGGCTCCAGGCTCTGAACCATCAGCCCAGAGCCCGACGCGGGGCTCGAACTCACGGACCGCGAGATCATGACCTGGCTGAAGTCGGACGCTTGACCGACTGCGCCACCCAGGCGCCCCATAAACATTTATTTATTTTTAAGACAGAGAACACAAGCAGGGGAGGGGTAAAGAGAGAGGGAGACACACAGAAATCGAAACAGGCTTCAGGCTCCAACCTGTCAGCACAGAGCCCGACATGGGGCTCAAACTCATGGACTGCAAGATCATGACCCAAGCCAAAGTCAGACGCTCAACCGACTAAGCCACCCAGGTGCCCCTACATATGAAAATGTTTAAGCTAATCTAATAACCTTACAAAGTAGACAAAACTGGAAGGGGCCAATTTTATATCTGGATGATGGGATGATAAAGAATGGGACAATATCCCTTGTCTTCCCAAGACCCTCTGCAACACTGGTCCTTACAATTTGAAGGGTAAGTCTGTCTCATATTTATGAATTGCCCAGGACTTCATGGGTAGTATTTTACTTAAGCACCCCTAAAATAATATGCCTTAAGTAAAACTAACAGTCATGCTTTTGGAGAAATGTCAGGCTGTGTGACTGAGCAGCTGGAGATTTGGGGGTTTGGAGACCTTCTCAATAGTCCTTATTTCACATTGTTGAATGACAACCTGTTCTGCCACAATCATCATATATGGCCATACAGGTTACAGACTCCAGGAGAAGTTTTCTGGGTTTTTTCCTCATGGATTTTGATGTAAATGGCACCTTCTGAAGCTGTGTGCATTTTGGCTGTGTACCCTGCTCACAGCAAAGATCCTGGACAATGAAAAAAGTACGATGTGGCAATGACAGCATATCATCTCTTTTCTTCATTTACTCTCTGCCTCTTTCCTCCTCTCCCAGTGTTGGAGGAAGATGACTGTGACCTCTCCAGAGTCTTTGAGTCTCGCTACAAGAAACCATCCATTCTCCCAGAGTGCCCCAACAGGACTGAACTGCATGGGCTGGCCAGAGTACCTACCAGACACTGGTGAGTCATGTGCCTCTCTCTTTTGTTTTATACTCTGGTGTCCTAGAAAGAAGGACAAGAAATGAGAGAGTATCGTTGACTGCTATGTTTACTTGTCTGGCAGAAGTAGCTTGAAGGTGAGACAGATAAACCAGTGTCTCTTATCCCTTCAGTTAGGAAGAGGTCCCTAGCACCCAGAGAAAGGGAATTATTGGCTCAGGGAAGATTCCATTATTGAATCCCCAAACCTGCCTCCGTTCATTTATTTTGAGTAAAACTAATGTTCATCTCTTGGGTCTAGCAATAGGCTATAATTATAGGATATATAACTTGCAGAAGAAATAATCACATAGACAGTTGTCTTTAGTCTAGAATGGAACTTGAGTGTGTTTTCCCTTTGACAGACAAGCTTCTTCTGTGAGTTTTATGGCTGCTTCTCTGAGTCTCTTACCCAAATCTATGGCAAACAGCATCACATCATATATTTGCCCATAAAAGCACTGGCCTTTGTGCCAGAAGGAAACTGGGCCAAGATAGGGCATCCTCATGCATAGCCACCACCTTTCCCAGACCTAACCTAGGAGGGGCTTGCATATGCTGAAAATGTTCAAGGGCTCCCGGTGTCAAGTGTCAGATCTTGAGCAGGTGCAGATTTTATTAGCAACATTATTGTCTGAAAGCTGGCTGGAAGGAGAGGCCAATCTGGTGTTTAGGAAAGACAAAGAATGGAGGGCACCTGGGTGGCTCAGTTGGTTGAGTGTCCAACTTCAGCTCAGGTCATGATCTCATGGTTCATGAGTTTGAGCCCCACATTGGGCTCACTGCTGTCAGCCTGTTAGTGCAGGGCCTGCTTTGGATCCTCTGTCCCCCTCACTCTGCCCCACCCCGGCTTGCACTCACCCAAAAATAAATAAATATATATGTTTTAAATATAAAGAATGGTAAATCCCTAGACAGGGTTGAAAAAGCAAAATAGCTACACCTGTCAAACATGTACTTCATCCAGACTTGGGGAGTGGGAACAGGACTGACATTCCAGGCAAAAGATGATAGGAGCAGAGTGGCTAGGCTCTGGGGGTTCAAGTGCAGCATATGCCATCCTGAGGGAGGTCAGCTCTGATGCAGAACTGAGTCCTGAACTCTGAATCCAACTCAGTGCATACTAAGTGCTGGTCGTGGGGGAGCTAGCTGCTCTGATTAGGTGGTGGACATGATTATTTTCCATTAGCAAATGTATGTGCTTATGCTGCATCATGCAGTGGACTTATTCTTTCCCAGATTGGTTGTGATTTAAATTCACAGTAAGCAAAGTCATGAAAAGGTAAGTTTGACAACTGCTGAAAGAATGTTTTCAAAGGAAACAGATATTTCTAACATAGGTCTTCATTAAGTTATGGGATTATTTACAGGCTCATGGAAGGAGCAGTAATTGGTGACAATAGTGTTTTTCCAGTGATAATTCTCAAGGCTGAATTTGCCCTTTGAAGTTAGAACTTTCTTACAAATCCAAAGCTTAATAATCATATGTGCCTAAAATTTCAGAGGTTCATTTGAATTAACTGACAGGTGGGGGTGCCTGGGTGGCTCAGTCAGTTAAGCGTCTGACTCTTGATTTTGGCTTAGGTCATGATCTCACGGTATCATGGGTTCAAGCCCCATGTCGGGCTCTGTGCTGACCCTGCGGAGCCTGCTTGGGATTCCTTCTCTCTCTCTCTCTCCCGCTCTCTGCCCCTTCCGATTCACACTGTCTCTCAGAATAAATAAATAAATTTTTAAAAAAATTGACAGGTGTGGGCGCCTGGGTGGCTCAGTCGGTTGAGCATCCAACTTCGGCTCAGGTCATGATCTAGCAGTCTGTGAGTTCCAGCCCCGCATCGGGCTCTGTGCTGATGGCTCAGAGCCTGGAGCCTGCTTTGGATTCTGTCTCCCTCTCTCTCTGACCCTCCCCAACTCATGCTCTGTCTCTCTCTCTCTGTCAAAAGATAAATAAAACATAAAAAAAATTTTTTTTTAAATTGACAGGTGAATTTATTGCAGAATAATCAAAAAACCTCAGTGACACATATGTCCTGACATGCTTGCACCCCAAGGATACTGCTCTGGATGTAAGAGATCGGGGCTCTGGCTCTAGCTGCACTAGATATGGGGGTGAGAAATCGTGCACATCCCTCATTTCTCTGTATATCAGATTCCTTCATTATTCAAAAAAGGAATAATAATTCCTCTTTTCCCATTTCATCAGGTTAATATTGACAGTCAAGTTAATATGGACTTGGGTCTCTGTATTTAGGAAAGCCTTCTTTTCTTTATCACTTCAATTCCAACTGTTCAGTTCCAGACTTCTGGGGTTATATTTCCAGTCTCTATCCCAAGAACCTCTCTCATCATTTGCATTATTTTAAAAAATATGGGGCGCCTGGGTGGCGCAGTCGGTTAAGCGTCCGACTTCAGCCAGGTCACAATCTCACGGTCCGTGAGTTCGAGCCCCGCGTCGGGCTCTGGGCTGATGGCTCAGAGCCTGGAGCCTGTTTCCGATTCTGTGTCTCCCTCTCTCTCTGCCCCTCCCCCGTTCATGCTCTGTCTCTCTCTGTCCCAAAAATAAATAAAACGTTGAAAAAAAAAATTTTTTTTTAAAAATAAAAAATATTTCCGCTTAGGTCTTGGAGAATTTCTGTTTTATCTTCTACTTTGTTTTTCTGGCTTTACTACCTGTTCATTGCCTCCTAGATTTGTGATTCAGTGATCACACTTTTAATCTACAATAAATCTTTCCAATGTCCTATAGAAGTTTGGTAAAAACAGAATATTGAGAATTTCGTAAAAACTTTCTCCTGTTCATGTTTTATAAATTTATTTGCAAATTCATCTGCGTTTGTTTTGACTGGTAGTTTTTCTATAGGTGAAATTTCTCTATTTGCTTATCCTTACAGACATCAATCTTTCCCCAACAAGGGCTTGTTATCAAGTAGTTGGAGACAATATCCTTTCAGAGACTGCTATAGAGTGCTATTAAACTCCTTCAAACACAGCTGAAGCAGGAAGTGAAAGGCTTCCCTGTAATGTGTATCACAAGTTCAGTCACCTTGGAGGGAGCTGTAAGCAGTGCCACCAGGAAACTTTCCTTCTTTTCAGCATTTCTTTTACATGTGTGGAGTAGCCAAGAATTATCCTGATGTGGGAGCATGCCACCCTTTGCCCCACAAGTTGGTGCCCAGAATAAATTGCACCACATCCACTCCACTCTCAGTGGAACCAGCAGAGCCAGATACAACTCTGCAAGTTGCCAGCACACAGATGCACACAGATTAGTGTAAAACCCTCTGCACCTCCAGAGCCCATGCCCATTACTTAGGGAGGTTGGCGAGGTTCTACCAGGCACTTTCCTACTTGCCTTCTGTTTCCATTGTTATTTCAAAGGTATGGGTCACTTCTTTCTTCAAGCCAATTATATCTTATGGGTGAATTTCTCTACTTTTTAAACAGCTTTATTGAAATATAGTTCACATTCCATAAAGTTCACCCATTTAAAGTGTACAATTCAGATTTTATTAGTCTGTTCACATATAGGTGTAATCATCACCACAAATTTTCCTATTCTGGATTTGCATATGAATGGAATCCTATAGGACCTAGTCTTTTGTGACTTTTTTCACTGAGAATAGTGTTTTCAAGGTTCATCCATGTTGTCACATGTATCATTCCTTTTGATGACTGAATAATAGCCCATTTTATACAGATGTACCACAACTTGCTTATCCAGTCATCTACTGGTGGACATTTGGACAGTTTCCAGCTTTCAGCTATTATGAATAATGCTGCTATAAAAATTCATGTACAAGTTTTAGTGAAGCCTTATGTTTTCACTTACATACATAGGACTAGAACTGGTGGGTCAGATGTTAACTTTATATTGAATCATTTGAAGAATTGCTAAACTGTGTTCTTTTCTTTTTTAATATATGAAATTTATTGTCAGATTTGTTTCCATACATCACCCAGTGCTCATCCCAACAGGTGCCCTCCTCAATACCCATCACCCACCCTCCCCTCCCTCCCACCCCCCATCAGCCCTCACTTTGTTCTCAGTTTTTAAAATTTTTTTTTTCAACGTTTATTTTTGGGACAGAGAGAGACAG